TTTTTGTCTTTTTGAGACAGGGTCTCCCTGTAGCCTCAGCTGGCCTGGAACTCACTATATAGACTAGGCTGGCCTCCATCTTGCAGAGATCTGCAGGCCTCTGCCTCCTGAGTATTTCTATTTTTATAACTCAAAATTATTTCAACAAATCAGGCATGGTAACTTGGTTGTAATCTCATTACTTGGAGGCTAAAGCAGGAGGATTACTGCAAGTTTGAGGCCAGTCTGACTACAAAGTGAATTCTAGGCCAACCTGGGCTACAGAATGAAACTCTATCTCAAAAACAAAATTATTTTAATATGAAAAAATTTTAAACTTAAATTTTTAGCAGGCTCTTGTTCTCAAATAAAAATGTTACAACTAGGGCTGGAAAGATGGCTCAGCAGTTAAGAGAACTGCCTGCTTTTGCAGAGGGCCTGTGTTTGGTTCCTAACACTCCCATGGTGGCTAACAACAATCTGTAACACCAGTTTAGGGGGTTCAATGCCCTCTTCTGATCTCTATGGGCACTGCATGCGGGGGTACACTTAAATACATAGGAAAAACCCTCATACGCATAAAATATAAAAAAAACAAAAAAAAAACAAAAAAAATGTAATTGCAAATCTAAATTTGGTCCTGTTCTCAGCCCGTGTTTCCTCTGGTGGGAAGGGGAAGGGCCTTAGCTGGGCTGTGCATGCTGGCCAGTAAAGGGAGGATAACCTACTGGGTTCATTACCAAGAGGCCAGCGTTCTCCCACTGATCAAGAAAACTGGATCATGCCTTCTCCCATGTCCTCTTAACATCTTCCACAAACTCACCCTTTTTTGTTTTGTCCAGGTGACACTGCCCCTTACATCATTGACAATGTTGGTGAACAGTCAGAGAATATTTATGAACACTCTGAGCACTGTACTCTGTGCAGTCTACACATCAACTCATTTCCACCCTCACAACAATCCCACAGTAGAACTGCTATTACTCTTCTCATTTTATAGGTAAAACTAAGACACAGAGAAATAGCCAAGGTAAACAGCTGGTAGCAGAGGTGGGATTTTAACCCAGCTGTCTACTGCCACCAAGTGACAAGAGAGAACATGATGCCAAGACAGTGAGATTCAGGGCGGAGGGAGGAGGAAGGCTGTAGCCATCAGGTGGAGTCCTCTCAGAGTCAGGGAGGGCTGCCTCAAAAGTTCGCCAGAACCCATTCTAGTTCTCATGTCTAAGTGCAGGGTTTCCACTTCCTTGCTGCTGTAACACACAGCTGATGAGGTACACATGAGTGAGACACGCCGGGGGACACAGCCTAACTGATCTGGATAGGAAAAGGCAAGATATCCTGTGGCAGCTGCAACGCTCTGTGTAATAACGGGACCAAGTTCATTTCTACCGAATACCAAAGGAACAAGTCAACGGTTTTTGACATTCAATACCCTTAGCAAAAGAGACAAAACTAACTTAAAAGGTAATTCCAGTTTAACAACATTACTAATAATTATCGGCATTTCCTTCCATAACCACACATAGATGAACACTGAGTAACACTAGTTTGAAATCTAGTTTTTCAAATAGATGTTAATAAACATTCCTAAGAGTGATTACTTACTCGGGTACCAAGGAGGCTCGTAACATGGTTGAGGCCTGAGGACAAAGGAACAGAAGAAAATAAACCATCTTAAACAGAAATGCATTAATCCTAACCTACTCTAACAGCATATATGCAGCCATCTGAGAAATGAGTGCAGTGTTCTCCAACCAAAGCCATACATGACTTAAAAACTAATCCAAACAGCTAAGGAATGCAGCACTATGCCCATCTCAAGTAAACCATCCTTCGTTTGCTGGGACTCTGAACCAAACTTTTATGAAGCCAGTGGATCTCTCTGCCCAGATTTCCAGTGGCACCCAAAGCTGCCTAATTACAGGCCATTAAGAACGAAAGCAGTGTGAATTTTTTCATATCTCTGTTTTTTTCTCAGTAAGATTTTTTTCCCCTTAAGTAAAAAAGTAATACATTGCTTTGTGCCAACTTAAACAACCCAGAGGTGTTTAAAGACAAAAACAGAACAATCCCCTTCCACCTCATCCCTCTACCCTGTCTGCAGCCATGTCACTGCCTTACTTTATCGAAACACGCACAGTCCCATGTACCTCCTGTGTGATGTTCATGTATACAACGTTATTTTTTGTCACTACAGTGTCACTGCTGCATTAAATGTGCACAGGAATAGATTTCAGGAATGAATATAACCAAATGCATTGTGTAGCACCTGTCTGGACCAATTCAAACCAAATATAATATGCATATGCATATGTATACATATCTGAGATATATATTATATATATGTGATATTAAGAAATTTGAATATGGACTGGAATGGAGTTAAGAATTCATGCTAATTGTATTTATTTTGTGTTTTTTAAAAACCCCTTTCTAGGGGCTGGAGAGATGGCACAGTGGTTAAGAGCTGACTGCTCTTGCAGAAGACCCGAGTTCGATTCCCAGCACCCACATGGTGGCTATGAACCATCCTTAACTCCAGTTCCAGGGGAATCTGACGCCCTCTTCTGACCTCCGCAGCATTGCACAACACAGTGCACTCACATACATGCAGGCAATACATTCATACAGATAAAATATTAAAAAAAACATTTCTGTTAGATGTGTCTATTTTATTTACTGGTGAAACATTTGGATAGGTTTTAAAGGACCTGGGGATAGCCAGGCATGGTGGTGCATGCCTTTAATCGTGTACTGGGAGGCAGAGGCAGGTAGATCTCTGTGAGTTCAAGGCCAAGGCCAGCCTGGTCTACAATGAGTTCCAGGCCAGCTGGGGAACTACAGAGAGACCCTGACTCAAAAAAAACAAAAACAAAACAAAACAAAACAAAAAAAACCAAAACCAAAAAAAAAAAAGGAAATGTCGCTGTCATGTCCCAGCACAGTGCCCTCAATACAGAGGCACTCAGTCAGCGCTTGCTGAGCCACGACAATGCAGAGTCCCACAGTGATGCCGAGGTGTCCTGTCAACAACCCTGCTGTCCTCTGTCAGGTTTATAGACCACAGGTTCCCACCTCATACATGTCAAATCGACTTCTAAATTGGCTCATGACTCGTATGTTTTCATATTGTTTAGCAGTGCTGGGATTGAACCCAAAGCCTTGCACATGCTAGGCAAATGGTCAACCACCCAGCTATAGTCCCATGAGTTTTCATATTTTAACTCTTGTTTTTTGATTGTTTGTTTTTAAGAGTGGGTCTCATTATGTAGCCCTGGCTGACCTTGACTTGAATATGTAAACTAGGCTGGCCTAGAACTCACAGAGATTTGCCTGTCTCTGTCTCCTGAGGGCTGGGTTTAAAGGCATGTGCCACCACGCCTGGCTAAAAATACATTTTTTTATGAAGAATTACTAATACTGGCTCACTCCTATTCCTCAAAATAAAACTCAGCATCCCCTGTACAAAAGTTTTCTCTCATTTAAAATACTGACCTTGCCATTCTACATGCCCTAGGAAAAAACTAGGTGAAAAGCAGGAGTGTTAGGCTCTGCTAAGTAGCCAGCCTGTACAGACACACACTGGAGACCTAGTATCAGGTGAAAAGAAAATCCACAGAGGCACTGCAGGAAGAGCAGAGCACACCCTCCTGAGAGGATAGGGGGGTGTCTTTCATTCAGCAGCAACTGCCAGGCCTCTGCCAGGCACTGGTTATAGACGGGTGAGCAAACCTTTGTGCCCTTTCAGTGCCCTTTCTCATGTCCAACCACTGGGGAGATCAAATGGCCAAGTGACTCTCCATGCCCATTAATGCTAACCTCGTCGCTAGATCCCCTAAAGTACTAGAACTGACTTTAGCCTGAAATCTCTCTCACATCCACGACTTCCCCTCCCATTCCCACACCAGGGACTTTCTCTGGACTTCCTGTCTTCTCAGCTACCAGTCTGCATGTTTTACTGGATGCTTCCCCTGTGTTAGTCCCTCTCCTGCACAGTCATGCCTTTGATAGGTATGGAGGACTGTGCACTGGGCCCAGAGTCAAACTAGGAGTCAGGTCCCAGAGCCCATGCTTGCTGTCAATGTCCTGCTGTGGGTCTCCACCTCAGGCCCTTCTGCTACACTGGGCCAAGGGGACATTCACCTGTCACTTGTGCTCCACCCCCTCTCCCTGCCTATACCTGTAGCCTCCACCCTCATTTCTGCACTCAGCTGTAAGCACAGGCTCAATGAGACCCAGTGTCTGCTCCAGCACTGCTCTCACTTCTAGCTTGGACTAGCTCCAACTGAGCTCTCTACAGTGTTCAAAGCAGCACTTTCCATGTGATGACACACACCTTCCATCCCAGCACTCAGAGGGCAGAGGCAGGTAGATCCCTGTGAGATCATACCCAGCCTGGTCTACACATTGAATTCCAGGCCAGAAAGGACGACAGGAAGACCCTGCCT